ATGATTCGGAGGCCATGGAGCCGGCCGCAGCGTTCTGGGCCCCGCCGGCTTTCTCTGCCGGCTGCCCGCAGGTGCCACACACCACGGTGCGGGAGCGCAGGTTGTACTCGCCGGGATCACCCGAGCCGCCACAGTGGGCCTGGAGGGGTGGAAAGAGAAACAAGGGGCCTTGAGTACCAGACAGCATAGTGAGGACAGTGGGAAAGATCCCAGGCCCGGCTCGAGGGTTTAGTGAGCGCTCCAGAGACTGAGGCCGACAGCTCCTCTCAAGTGACACCCGCGGAGCCCCAAGGCTGCAGAGGGTACCTGAGCGGAGGAGCTGGCCAAGAACCTCCTCGCCCTGGCAGGGTTGGATTGTGCCTGCTCAACCCCAGCCTAGTCTTGCGATCGGTGCTTTGGGGCGTCGGGCCCCAGCGGATGTTCTGCCATTGCAGGGTGCTCAGAAACCGGAGCCCTGAGTGACGGGTGCATTAGAAAATCCTAACTCGACCAGAACGTGTCACGGGGGGTTCTCTACCTGGGGGTTGCGAGCTCCCTGTCACCCCCATATTGCTGAATGTGGGAGCAGAAGGTACTGCCCAGACAGCACTCAGCGCATGGTAAAGAACCACCTCTGGAACGGATGGACTCTTACCGAAGCCAAAGGGAGCAACTCACACCACAGTGGGCAAACAGGCCTCCGAAAGAGCAGGCGGTGGGTTGCGTGGGGAACCCCTGCAGTCTGTCCTACCCCCTGGCGCTGCGCCCTCTTGTCCCACATATCCCCGACTCCTGCTGACAGCGACGGGAGCTGCCTTTGGGCATGAAGAAGGGAATTGCGTCTCCCTTAAGCCAGTAAAGCCCTCTGTGCCAGGGGAACAGCAGCACGGGAGCCAGAAGTCTGTCTCAAATTTCACATCAAGATCACCTAGGACATAATGAAGTGGCGTGGTCCCCGAGTCGAGTCAGTCACACTTCGGACCACGCCATATGCAGAACCCTAGAATAACCGATAGGCCTCAGGAAGTAAGATTCTGATCTGGGAGGGATTGTTTGGTGTCTGTTCCACTCAGTGGGGGCCCATCCATGCGGCTTCGGAGTCCTGGCGTTTTCAGCCAGGTCTGCCTACAGAGCCACTCGGCAGCAGTATGACCATCCCGAGTGAGGAAATGCAGCCGGTTTACTGTCAGATCCGTTGCTTGCTTCCTATCCTAGTCATGCCTGGTTCTTCCGGATCAATGCTCTGGGCGATTCAATGCTTTGAAGACACGGAGGGCCGTTTCACCAGTGGTTTGCCTGTAGGTAGCACTGTACTAGCCAGGCCGATCTATTCCCCAGCCCTGCCTCTACTGGCTATTCTGGAGATGGGCTTGAATAAAACTTCTCCCAGGCCAGACCCAAACAGCTAACGCCTTCCGTACCAAGGACCCCACAGGGACTGGGTTTATGTCAGAAGCTCACTCCTGGGAGGAATTCAACTCTCACAACAAATGGGAGAAGGAGATCCTGGCTCATTTCTCATCAACATTCACCCTGACACGGCTGCTCGGAGCTCGAGCAATGAAAAGAAGAGGATCAGGCACGACAGAGCCCCCAGCTGCCCCAATCAAAGCTGCTGAGAGCTGCCTCTGGCACCCCTGCGGAAGTGGAGGTACCGAGCCCTCGATCTTCCCGTCTGATCTGCACCGGAGGTGCCTCACTCTCTGCCCATTTAGCTCAGGGGCGGGAAGAACTGAGCACGTTTCTAACTGGGCACCGGCCCAATCTCTGTGTAACAAAGCACCTGTCTGTTGCTGGCCCCAGATTAGGAAGGGCACTTTTAGCTGTGTAGGGAGGAAGTGCGCAAGTCCAAGAAGGCACCGGATGGGGGGCTAAAACCGGAGCCACCACTGGGATCCGTGGATGCATTTCAGCAGCCACCTTGCCAAATGCAGGGCATCCATTGCAGCAGCCATCTCTACAGCTCGGCTTCCACCGAAGCCTGCATTGTCCTGCGGGCTCCAGGCCAAGCGGATCTTCACGGGGCCAGCTTGGAAGCAGATTCACCCTCTCCTCCAGGGGAATGACCAGAGTGCCTTTCGTGCGAGATGCTCCAAAGGAAGCCACATCGTCTGCTCGGTCCAGGATGCTGGGAGCATCTCCCCGTGCAGAGACCACCTCACGCAGCCAATGGATGGGAGTTTGCTTCCCAGACACGGGGCTTGGTTCCAGCCAGACACGTAATACCCTCCCCCCATCATCGCTGCTCCCAGCACCCCGGGAAGTGCAGGGCCAGTGCAGCAGGAGGGGGACTTGCCTGAGGCCACCCAGCGGGCAAAGCGGCAGAACCAGGTTTCGAGCCCCCGCCCCACTGGCTCCCACCGCCTGTGCCTGACAGAGCAGGGTGCTTACGTGGTGGTGACGGTGGTGGACGCTGACTTCGTCATCGTCATCCTCCTCCTCGTCATTGATGATCACCGTGCGCACCAGCTTCCTCATGGCCACCTCCTGGGCGGGAGGGAAGGCAGAGTCAGCTACACTTACAGAGACCCCCCTTTTGCTCTACGGCTCATGAGACAGCGACTCCCGCAGACAACGGCACCACACGAATCCGACCCCACCCCACCGTCCTCCGCCCCTTGCCCATCCCTCTCTGGCACCCGGCCGGAGCATGCAGCCCCCAGACCTGGACTGCCCAGCGGACCAGGGCAGGAGCCTCACCTCTCCGTTGGAGCTGATCAGGGCGGTGCGCAGGCTGTCTCCAGAGCCCCAGGAGCTTTGGGCCTTCCACACCATGTCGGTGGGAGGGCTGTGGGTGGCGCCAGCACCGGAGGCCCAGATCTAAAGAGGAAACACAGAGATCGGTAGCACCTCCCACTGGCAAAGCAACCAACCCCTCACTGCCCACTGGGGCGCTGCCCCTGTCCGGCAGCTGCCCCGCATGGGAGCCTGCTACAGAGGAGCTGCTCCGATAGCTCAACAGGGGGAGTTTCGTGCTGTGGATGCTGTAGGTTCCAGGGTCAGACCCCCATGCTGGACTGCTGAGGGGAGGGGCTCGCGACACGCTCAGCTCCAAGGACCAGAGGTGAGGGAGATGGGCTGAGAAAGATGCAGGCAGGAGCTTAAAACGCTGGGGGAGGGGGAAGTTTGATGCTGCAACTGGCTTCTGCTAATGCCGGGGCCCCGATTTGGAGCACGCGATGCCAAAATGCAGCAGCACGTCAGCCCCAAAGGGCAGGAATCGCACTAGGACTGTTGGCAGGGTGACTGCTGCCGTTCCAGGCTGGGACCTGCCCATGCAGGCGGTCCCGGCACACAACGGGGAGATCAGCCTGGTCTTCCTTTGAGATCCACAGCCCCAGGAACTGCAATCCCCCAGGTGTCCCCAAGGGGGAGCCCCGCGGCCCCTCGCATGAGGGGGCCGCTAAAGAGAAGATGCACGGGCTCCAAGGGGCTGGGTTTTCTCTGCCTCCTTCAGGAGAATGGGGGCAGGGGTGAGAAGTGCCCAGGGAGAACAGACCAGTTCTCAAGAGCATCCCCCCTTCCCTGGCCCGCGCGGGAGCCGTCTGCCACTCACCGTGACCACCTGGCCGGCCTTCAAGGTGAACTTGGGAGGGAAGCGATAGGTGACAGGGGCCTCGTCTCCATTCTGACGCTTGATCTGCCAGTTCCCCAGCGCCTGGTCCTGAGACACAGAAGGCAGCAGCCGTGAGAAACCAGCCCTCAAGGTTGTTCTGGTTTTACCTTCTCTTGGCTACAAGTCCTGAGGTCAAGGGACCCTGCCACAGACCCTCTCACCTTCACCTCCCCGGCCTCAGTTTCCCCATCTTCCACTTGTAGCCCTTTCCCCGCCCTTTGTCAGTCTTCTCTATAGACACAATAATTTGGGGGGCAGGGATCATCTCTCACTCTGGGCATGCACTGCTCCCAGTACAGCGTGGCCCAGTGGACGCAGCACTGGACTAGACTCAGGAGATCAGGATTCAAATCCCAGCTCCAGCACTAGTCTACGGGATGACCTCGGCCAAGGCACTTCCCTGCCTCTATGCCTCAGTTTCCCCATTTGTAAAGGGGGGGGAGGTTAATGATACTGACATCCTTGTCAAGAGATTTGAGACCTGCTTTTGTTCTGAAGCATCTCAAAGCAATTTTCAAGCCCCACACAACAGCACCTGCTGAAATGCCTCCACATCTGTCTGTCTAGCACCACACAGAACAGAGCAACACCAATTCACACTACACGCTGAACCTCTCTAGTCCAGCATGATTTTAGTTAGCCGGATGTCCGCTTCTCATGGGGGTGGCCAGGTTTCCCGTGGTCCCATAAAGTTTAACAACCACCAGTCCTGGCTCTGTCCTGTGTTGTTACTTAGCTCTAATATACCCCTAAATCTCTTCTCAGAGCCCAGTGGAAGCGTGGGTAATGCTGCTAGACGATATTGATCCCCCCGAGGTCTGGCTAATTCTCTGGTTCGGCACCGGTTGGGTCCTGGATGCTGGACTAGAGAAGTTCAACCTGTAGGAATTGACTCTACATTTTAAGTCTCCTACAGAGATGGCAGCTCCTTTTGTGTGCACGGTGGTTTTACAGCCGACCAGAGGGAAGGGCACTCCGAGAACTACACAATTTTCCTTCCAGCCATGGACCCATCCTGACCCTGCTCACGCACGACCGGCATCCCCACCAGGAGATCTACCTCGTTGGACTTGTTCCTGAGACGGACAAATTTCCCTTCCAAATCAACCTCTTCCACGGCCACGCGGCCGCTGGTCCTGGCATGCTGGGAGAAGCTCGTCCGGCGCTCCCCGTCCTCCAGCTTCCTCTTCTTGGAGGAGCCCGGCGTGGTGGAGGAATGGCTCACATGGATCCTGGAGCCTCCCTTCTGGGAGCTGGGGCTTGGAGACAGCCTCAGCCTGGGAAAGAGGGCGAGAGGGGGTGAGTGCGGGTTGGACTCAGGGCCTGGATTCTCTACTGAGAGAGGGGACACGATTGCATGGCTACTGGGGGTCCTGCGGGCAGAGGCCATTTCCCCATGGGACGTCCCCCGAAGGACACGTCTCCGTCACAGCATCACCTCCACATCTCCCCCGCCCTACCCTTTGGCAGAGGTGCCAAGGCTGAACTGGCTACAGTGGATGAGGCTTGGAGCTGGGAGGGCCAGCCCGCCCTCACCCGCCAGGGTGCTTACGATAACCACAGACTGGAGCGGCAGGAACCAGCTGCCCGATTCAGACCCCAGCGCAACTGTGGGAAGCATCACTGAGCCAGTCTCCATTCCTGGCCAGCCCATCGGGTCTGGCTACAAGCTGTCCGCCTGCCCACTTTCTTCACCAGTGCCCCGAACTCCCCATGGCTGCCTGCATCTAGGCTCTGCACCTGACTCATAACCACACAGCTCCTCCCACAGGGCAGGTGGGACCAGGTCAGTAGCTTGGGTCCACATTCCAGTTCACTCACCCATCACTGCAGCACCGACCCTTTCACTTTCACGTCAGGTCAGTGCAACCAGGCCTGTGTTCCCAGCCCACCCACGAGGCGTGTCCTTTCCTCGCTCTGCCCCCATTGGCACATCCTCCCTCCCACCAGGCCCCTCCCTCAGCCACGACCCCAGCAGGCTCCTCTTTCAGCCCACGAAGGAGCCTCTCTCTGCACCCACCTCTCCTCCTCGCCCTCCAGCAGCTTGCGGTAGGCATGGATCTCCATGTCCAGGGCCAGCTTGATGTCCAGCAGCTCCTGGTACTCGTCCAGCTGCTGCTGCATCCTGGCTCGCATGTCCGCCATCTCCCGCTCCTTGTCGGCCAGGATGCGGCGGCTGGTCTCCCGCTCCCGGGCCAGCGCGTCCTCCAGGTCCCGCAGCTTCGACTCCTTGGCAGACAGCTGGGAGCAGAGGGGACACACCAGAGGGAGGGGGTGAGGCAGAGCACAAGCAGCAGAGGGTGCCCCTGGCTACCAGGGCTATGGGCACCCTAGGCATAGACACGGTGCCTTCCCTTGGGGTGAATCTCCAGGGCCACTGAGCCATTACGCAGCTTGCCCTGGGCTGTTACTAGACCTGGTCTGTGGTGGCCTTTCGCTTCAGTGGGTCCATGAGGACCTATTGGTCCTAAGCCTGTCTGGGGTCTGGCCCGGGGCTGCAGAATCAGGGCCAGGGCCTGCCCAAGGTCCTGCCAGCGTGCGTCCCTTAGATAGTCGTCAAGCTGCGGCTGGAGTGGAGGTGGATAAGAGGCCCCTGTGGAACCTGGAGTGGCCTAGAGCTGTCGGGGTGGGATTGGAGCTGGACAGTCAGAGTCAACTCCTCGGCTGGCATGAACAGCCCTTGACAGAACAGCTCCCAGTGGAGAACTGAGCCCTGCAGGTCTCCCACCCTTGGGATGCTACAAGGGATGTGAGCGTATAACCAGGTAAACAGTTAACCGAGAAGCCTGGGCCTATGGGTTAATGTTCACGGTTACACACAGGTTCCTGCCTGCTCCGGGGGAGCCGCCTTCTGCCCCGCGCTGCTGCCTCTGATGCCGAAGTAGCAGCGCAGCCTGGCACCCGGCTCTCTGGGAGTGGGGCACACTGGCTGCCAGGGAGCCGGCTGCAGGTGCGTGTAACTGCTGAAAAACACAGCGGTTACACGTTCCCACAATTAGCCGCATTCTAACATCCCGAGATGTTACCGGACCCACAACCAGTGCTCTGGGCCTGGCCCCTCTCTAGTTATGATGAGCGACTAGAAGATCTAAGACTAATTAAGGGGTGAACCCAGCAGTGGTGCATGCAGCCCCCTGCTCTGCCCCATGTGAGGGCAGCGGGCGAATGCGCCTCTCATAGCCACTGCTGGGGATGTTTGCCCAGGAAGGACATGGCTCTGACAGCCCAGTGCTAACCCAAGGAGTGAGGAAGGCTGGGGGCGTTATGCATGTGCCCCCCAAACCTGCCCATCTCCCCACCATTCCTCCATGCCCTGTAGTCATGCCAATGAGGTGATGTGTTGCTCCTGGCAACCAGCCAGTTCCCCTCCATCTCACGGACCCCTGCGCTGCCCAGCACTGTGGCTAGCGAGCAGCACCTGGCGCTGATCACAGGTGTCTTGCTGGGCTGACTGGAGTTCCCCAGGACAGGTGGTTGGCTTGGGGCAAAGGCCTGGGGTAGCCAGGAGGGGGCTGGCGAAAGGAGGGGCAGAGGGCTGGACCAGGCTCTCGCGGGTGTCTCCTGCTCACCTGCTTCTGCAGCTGGCTGAGCTGGGCCGACAGGCTGTCGATGCGGATCCTCGACTGCTGCAGTTCCTCGTGGGCAGCCCCCACCATGTTGCTGTTCCTCTCTGCTGACTGCTTGGCGTTCTCCAGCTGCAGCCCAAGGGCCAGGCAGGTTAGCACTGCAGAGGGGCAGTGGCTACGCGCGCCCCAGCGGGGAGGGAGGACGACGGCCCAGGGTGGGGCTGGTCCCAGATTCCCGCGAGGGTGAGCTCTCACCAGCCCCTCGCCAGAGACAATGGCACCGACCGGGCTGCTCAGTGGGAGCCGTTAGCTGCAGAGGAGGCTGCTTCTCTGCATTTCACAGGTGGGGCCCAAAGAGAGGGATGAGCCCCCCAACCTCCTTCCAGTGCCCAGCTTTAGTGGCAGCTCAGCCTGACCGGCAGATTTCACACAGAGGGGAGGCCTCTCTGGGCCTGTGGAAATCAGAGCTCCAGGGAGTTGCGCGCTGAGCTCTGAGAGATCACAGGCTGCTGGTGAAAATTTGGGTTCACGTGACCTACTTAAAGGCCCAGGGGCAGAGGCAGGAACAGAACCCAGGGGTCCTGGCTCCAAGGCCTGCGCCCCAGGCCCAGCAGGCTGCCATCTCAGATCCCTGGCCCCGTGCACTACGTTACCTTGGAGCCATAGGTCTTCTCCAGCTCCTCCTTGTACAGCTTGACCTGGGATTCGTGCTGGGCTCGCATGTCCTGCAGGGCATCAGCCAGCTTGCTCTCAAACTCCCGCTGGCGGCCGTTGTCGATCTCCACCAGACGGGTCTCATGCCGACGCTTGGTCTCGCGAAGCTCCTGGGGGGTGGGGGGGCATAGCAAGGAGGGGGTGTCTGAGCCATGGAGTTCAGGGATAGCGCTCACCAGCACAGGGCAGCAGGCAGCTGTCAGCCTTGAGAGTGGGCCCTCACTGGTACCAGCTGCGACTCCCCTGTCCTGTGGGGAGCTGGGACGAGCCAGGCTCAAAAGGGAATTTCTCCGGGTGGAATTTACCTGCCCCTGGGGGTGGAGGCTCAGGGCTTTTCTACACTTGATCTGCTCCAGCCGCACAGCTGACCGAACAATTCCTCTGTCAACCTACTGTCGTCTCTAGGGGGGCTTTGTGCGGCGGAGCTAAGCTGCCCTGAGGTGTGGAGTTTCCCCCATCTCCCCGGAAGTGAGGGAGGTGGGGGCTTGCGAATAGAGCTAAATGGATCCCCTGACACCGGCAGGGCCCCTCGCCACAAGCTCTCTGTTGCCGTGGACACTGGCCTGACCAGTCTCTGCAGTGTGTGTGTGTGTGTGAGAGACAAATCACCGGTTGTACAGTGTACAAGGCTGCACCGAGGAAAGGGGGGTTGCTCCGGGGCAGCGCTCACCTCGCTGTAAATGTTCTTCTGGAAGTCGAGTTCCTCCTTCAGCGTCTGCAGCCGGTTCTCGGCGTCCACCCGTCGCAGCATCTCGTCCTGAAGCTGCTTCTTCACCTCACCCAGGGCAGCTTCCAGCTGTGGAGGGGGAAGGGGGATGGGGGATGTGAGCGCAGCTAGGCGGAGAGTCCCAGACCCAGATGGGGGCGGAGGGGAGGGGGTCTCCAGCAAGGTGCCTGGGGTGGGGTCTCCAGCGAGGTGCCTAGGCAGGCAGCTGCTGAGCCCTACACTTCTGGAGACTTTATGCCAACTGTGATTGATCTATTTGCATAATATCCATATTCACTGCCTCATTTGCATAAACAGAATCAGAGCTAAGCCCATCAATTCTCCCCTCTCCCCAATACAGAACTCACGCCTGTCACACCCACTCCCTCCAGCCCCTTCGCCCCCACCTCCCGCAGGTCAGTGGCTCTCCCCAGCTGCCCAGGAATGGACCTTCCAAATAGTGGGTCTCCAGGCCCATTTGGGCAGCTGGACAGGACTCTTCTAGTTTGCCCAGGCAGCAAACGGGACCATGGCCGGCAGTCGGCACAGCCAGTCCATGGGTCAGCCGCCATCATCCCCCTCTGCAGCAGGAGGGGGCCGAGGCTCTCGCCTCGCCTCTCCCCTCAGCAAAGCGACGCCACAGCTCGCAAGTCAGCGACAGCAGCAGGACTAGAACTGCAGCCTCCCCAACTCCCCCCAACAACAGCCACACCCTGGGACCGCGCCTCTCTTAGGTGATGCTTAGGGGTCGCCTGCCCATCACCCTCCCCACCGTCCTGCCTAGCTGAGACCTAGCTGGGACTATGAACTGCCCAGAGCTGCGGGCGACTCGGCGCCATGGGGGCAGGACGTGCCTGGGGAATGCCATCATCTCTGGCACTGCAGAGGATGCCAGGGGGGCGTCCCAGGGCAGGCGTCAGGGCCTGCTGCTCACCTTGGACACTTGTGCCCTCAGGTCCCGGATTTCGTTCTCCAGGTTCCTCTTCTCCCCCAGGGCGGTGGTGAGTGCAGCTTCCTTTGAGTTGAGCAGGGCCTCCAGGTCTTTGAGGCGCGCCTGGGCAGCCAGCAGGGCCCCTTCCTTCTTGGTATTCCTGGAAGACAGTGCTTGGGAGAACCCCCTACCCCATAGGGGCCCACAGCACAACTGCTGGGCCCAAACACGCCCCAGCCCCAGGGGAGAGCTCAGACCCCCAATCCCAAAGGCCTGGGTGAATTCCACATGCCAGACTAACAGCCCGAGTGCTTCACATGGCCCCAGAACAGGCCCCGATTGCCCAAATCCTGCTGTTTTGCCTGGACCAGTCAGTGACTGTCCCCAGCTTGGGATGTACACGGACGGGGGGCATGTCCAGCGGACGGCAACAAAAATGATTAGGGGGGGCTGGAGCACGTGACTAACGAGGGGAAGCTGAGGGATTTGGGCTTGTTTAGCCTGCAGAAGAGTGAGGGGGGATTTGATAGCAGCCTTCAGCTACCTGAAGAGAGGTTCCAAGGAGGACGGAGAGAGGCTGTTCTCGGTGGTGCCAGATGGCAGAACAAGGAGCAATGTCTCATGCTGCAGTGGGGGAGGTCTAGGTTGGCTATTAGGGAAAACCATTTCACTAGGAGGGTGGGGAAAACACTGGGCTGGGTTCCCTAGGGAGGGGGTGGAATCTCCATCCCTAGAGGTTTTTATGTCCCAGCTTGACCAAGCCCTGGCTGGGATGGTTGAGTTGGGGTTGGTCCTGCTTCGGGCAGGGGGCTGGACTGATGACTCCTGAGGTCTCTTCCAGCCCTAGGAGTCTGTGATTTTAGGAGGGGTTTTACACCCGTGCAGGGAGTGATGCTTCACAACTCAGGGAAGTGACACTGGAGCAGCAAGCCCCCTTTCATGCTGGCGCAGAACCATCCGCCCCATGCCGCTTGCCATAGCTATCCTGCTACAAAATTGACAAGTCTCTGATCTCCCGGGGCACCCAGCTTCCCATTACCCGCATCACTGGGCGACGGGCCATGAAAGCAGCGATGGCAACAGCCCAAGTTCTGGGCCCAGCCCTGCTGGTGTTTATCGGCTGGTGATTCAGAGTGGCACGGGGGTGTTTAAAAATCCAACTCCTGCTGATGAAGGACTTGGCAAGCGGTTCTTTGGGGTATCAAAGCCAGGATCCCTTTTATAGAACGTCAGAACAATCACTCTCTCTCTCTCTCTCTCTCTCTCTCTCTGCCTATATACTGAAACTACTGCTATGTTAGCTAGTGGAGGCTCTAATTTTTGGTAAATTTTGGA